AGACCACTGATCTTTTTCCTTAATATGCCATTGTAATATTACATGTGGCAGCTTTTGGTATTCACACAACTTACTATTATCCTTAATTTATTCTCCATCTTTGGCAGGTGTTCAATGATTGTAGCAACAGTTAATCTTCTGATTAGTCAACTAAATGATTAACTGTTAATGGCTGGGAGAGGATGCGTACTCAGTTTCATAGCATCTTACATCATCATCTTTGATGTGTAGTGCCATTTTCCAAGCAGCTTCTTTAAGGAAGTGCATTTGGCCCCTTCATTTCTTTTCCAACTTTACTCATGTGGGCTATGAATCCATGTTAAATGGTAATATCAGATAAAATGGAAGAAAGGTTCACCTCTGAGGACATTGATTTCTAGATCTCTTTCTAGCAATAAATGTGCAGCTTAAACTGCGAAAACGAAATGATGCATTCAATGAGAGAAAAATAGCCTTCCGTGAAATGCTAATTTCAAAGCATTCATTGTCTGTACTATGGGCAACAGGTATTCTCCATGAAGTTGAAGCAATCAAGCTAGCAATTTGAGGAAGCAGTAGTTTGAATGCACTGAAGGAAATGTTGCTTGGTTGCAGAAATTCCATTCCGACATGCTGCTCACATTTAATGAGATTTACAGTGCTGATCTAGCCTTCTTTTCGTCGGTAGGTTGCTTAGGAGTACCGGAGGGGAAGGTCGACACACCTGAAGAGCAGTCGACTGCAAGGGATGGACATGCTGCTGGAGGACACGAGGCTAGAAGGGGACGATCTGGAAGGGACAGTGTGACGTGTGCATCCAAAACAATGTATTTAATCATAAAAGAGCTCAGAGAGGAGACAGCAGCGATCTGCTTTATGAGAAGCTTTGATGCTACTATGGTCAGCTGAGCAGTGGGAGGCAGTGCGATTCAGGCCTTCAGCTGCAACAAAAACTGATGATCACTCATGGAAGAGTAAATTTCTGGGTCTGGGGTGATGTCATGTCGGAGCATGAAAAATGATGAACACTGGAATACACCAGTGAGTTGCACTGAGTCTTCAGGATTCATGAACAACAAGTGACATATGCGGCGAATGGTGGGCATCAGTGGTAGGCCTGCTAATGTCTAGATGGGATGCGCAGTGGACCTGACACAGAGGTTGCATCATTATGATATGGGGGGAGTGGGAGCTGGGAAGTTAGTATGTCCAATCAGTTCCTGTCAAGAGAAGATCAGGGCAAGAGCCTATCATACCATGCAGCTACTACATCCAGAGGCTACATGAATTCATTCAATCCTTTGCAGCCAACAGGCCATATGATCATCAGTGGCCCCATAATGAATGTTCAGTAACAATTTTTCCACTGTAATGCACAGCGAGCCTCTGACGAGACTGAACATTTTGTCAGCAAATGCATGCTGTATGAGACTAAATGCAGGTGCATTCCATGCTGATGTCATTCAGAAGCCTGAATTCCAACTGAGGCAACCAGAAATTGCTATGAACCGGCATCTGCTGAACAGAAATGGACTATTCAGTATGGAAGCTTGGTCTTGCATGTACAGGCCCATGGCCCCCAGCCCAAACCAATGCAGATCGTAATATGTTCAGTTGACTGTGACAGTAGAGTCACACTGTGACATTCACAGCTACTTTTGGTAGTTGGTGGCATCACACGAACAAGAGTGTCACATGCAGAAAGAGACAGGTTATAGGACTCTAAATTTTCAGTAATACGAGCACTGCTCTTTACATGGGGTTTTGAGCCTGTAGGTCAAACTTAAGGAGTTTAAAAGAGCGTAAGGAGGTGAAACAAGTGAAACATTTGAGTAAAGAGTGGGGTGTGGTTCAAAAAGAAAATAGCTCAGCCACAGCTGAAATGGGGCTGTGGCTGAGGGAACAAATGTCGGCGCTCTATGGAGTGCACTGTTACATATGCCCTCCAGCCATTGTATATGATGGATCTTGGCTATATCAATTAGTGTTCATGCAGTTGGCATCAATGACCTCTTTATTCTTGGCTGTAGTCACGTGAGCTTGACGCGTGGTTTTGTTAATGGTGACCGAGTACCTCAAGGCTGTGCTGAGGTGTTCAGAGTTATCACAGATGGACCTGCAGTGATGAGCATAAAACTCGGGACAGCCACTGCAGAGGCAGATTTTGCTGGGTTTTTCATGGGAGCTGACCCAGCTGGCACAGCAGATGAACCAGCTCGAGCTGAGGGTTTGGCCTGGGGCTTACTGCCAGGTCAGGTTATGTCATTTCCAGAATGGAAAGTGTCTTGCCCAGAAGGAAAGGTCGCACCACCCGAGTGCCTCTCAACTTTTCTTCACTTCCTTTTCTCCTGCCTCTCCTCATACATCTCCTGTAAGCATTCCTTTTGATGATGACTAGTGTTTGCCACATCCACAATTGCATTCAAGGCAATCGCACAGGTATAAGTGGTGAAAAAGTGCAAAAGACTGTTAGGGTCAGGAGGAGCTAAGGTCAGGGGTGTTTCTGAGGCTGTGCAATCTGGAACATAATCAAGCAGAAGGCAAGTGCCATGAATGTGAAGGGACTTGTCCACAGAGTCAAATTTCACAAACTGATAGTGGCAGGCCTCATCTATGGCCCAAAGCTGCTGAAAGTCCTTATACCCTCCAGGCATAGGTGCATTGCCATTATAGCCAGTGTCACATAGGGCTTGGTCATAGAGGATGTATTTTTGCACCTGGAAGGAGGTGTACTCATGTATCACACCAGCAGCTGCATTATGGACTTAATAGTCCCCATTCTGAGTGATGGTGACTAGGGAGTGGTGGAATGCCACGATAATGATGAGGACAAAGGCCGCAGTGATATAATACTATAGGCAGCTGGAGTGAACAAAGCCAAAAGGAGATAGCACTGTATGGTTCAAGCTATGTTCAAGGGGCTTGGATGAAGGAGAGGCCCATGTTCTTCGTCCCTTTATATATCTTGTGGTCTTGCCTCTGAGTCCGATGTTTCGAGGGTTCTTGTGTGAGCCTGATATGATCAGGCCTTCTAAAAGAAATTTGAGGGTCATCTGGGATCTTTCCTAACCCATTGGTAAGCTGCTCCACATTTTCAATTCCCAATAATTCGAAATAAGTGCGAAGAGCATTCAAGGACTCAGCCATCAAGAATGGAATCCAGGTATGATTTCTGCTCTTCTATACAGCTTCAAAAACTGCATCTCGACCAGTACCAGTATGGGAGATTATTTTATCAATAGCCCATTCATTTTCTTAGTCTTCCAGCTCAGCAACTTGGCTGTCTAACTGGCCAGGAAATAACTGATCATCATTTGGTTCATGTGCCCAAAGTAAGGATGCATGAAAGACGTCATGGATCCCTCAGCATTTCAAATTGAGGGGCAACTCTATCTTATAAGAATTATTGCCATAGTCCTCGATAATTAGGTATGGACCAATGAATTTCAGAATTAGCTTGCAGGCTAATCCCCTCAGCAAAGATAAATTCTTGGTAGATAAATATACCAGATCACCCTTCACAAATGGTGCAGGGCATTGCTTATGATTAGCATCATGAGTCTGCTTCATCCTAGCAGAAATGATGCTGTCATGAGCGGACATGAGCGCATACTGAGCATAGGCATAAATGGCAGGATATTCATCCTTTCCTGGATTGTCCCAGATCATTGGTCTGGGCATTATCCCTGTATTCAGAAAGAAAGGAGAGTATCCAAAACTCTCAGACCATGCCGTATTGATAGCAAATTCAATAGAGGGTAGTTTAGACACCCAATCCTTCTGGTTAGCATTGATGCACTGTCTAAGCATCTGGGTAACAGTGCGATTAGCATGTTCTGTGGAGCCATCGAACTGAGGGTGATATGCACTTGACATCCTCAGTTCCATGCCTACAAGCTTGTGCAAGTGGCTCCAGAATAGACTAGTGAATAAAACATCTCGGTCACTCACAATATATTTGGGCATATCATGATGTTTATACACCTCAGAGAATATCAATTCCACAATGTTCTTCACATTGTAATTGATTCAGCTAGGCACTAGGTGTACCATGGCCATCAGAAGATCGATTATTACTGTAATAGAATCATATGCGGCATCACAATCTTTTGATTCAGGCAGAGGACCAATGAAATCAATTCCTATGGCTTCCGAAGGAGTGCTTGGCACAGATAGAGGATTCAACAGGCCATAAGGCTTCTGATTAGGTGGCTTGCTACATCAGCAAGTCATGCAAGTATCACAATACTTACGCACATTGGCAGCCATGGTCTTCCACCAAATGTGGTCTCTGAGCAACCCGAGGGTCTTGTGTGTGCCAAGATGTGCCAAAAGTGAGTGCGCATGTGAGGTAACCATCCCTCTTGTGCTGCACACATTTACAAGAATGTTAGGCACACATAATTGTTGCTTTTTGTTGTCACACAGGACAACCAGGCCATCATGAACATGAAAGTTCTTGAAGTGGCTCAGAGAAGCCAAGATGCATGCATAGAATGCATCATCTGAGTATTTCCCATGCAGTGCATCACCGAGTACCACTCCATTGATACTCTCAGAGAGATGATGTCAAGGACATGATCTGTGCAAACTTTGTCTGATCCAGGGCACCCACGAGGCAACTCTGGCAAAGGTGTAATGTCATTGTCAGCCATAGCCACATCAGTCGCATTGAGTGGCTCCACCACAGGCACATTGCATAGTGTTTTTAGCTTACCCTCTGGGGCAGGCTGTAGCTGGCCATCTAGGACATCCATAGGAGCTTCTGCTGAAGTCAATTGAGTGTCACTAGTGGATGTTTCCTGCAGGGATGCACCCTTTTGGCCTTCAGCACGAAATCCGTGAAGAATGACACACCGGATGCATTTGGAGAACTCACATGACATCTCCGCATGACCAGTTTCAGCTGAAGCAGGTGCAGCATGATGGTGCCATTGTACTGAGGAAGGTGCCTTGCCATTAGAAGGCAGGGCATCCACCTTGGCCACAGTCCCATTGTGGGTAAGTGCTGAATGCATGCAAGCCACCATCACCTCCATCTCCATGTACACAGGCATGGAGACAATGCAGCTCACCAAAAGACAAGGCAGATCCTCACTGTCATCATACTGCATATACTCAGATGCTGCCCAAACTGTGCCCAGGCTGTCATTCGAACAAATGCGAGACAAGGCATCTGCTAGAACGTTCTCAACCCCAGGAACATATTCAATCTTGAAGTCAAACTCCGAAATCTTCTCGAGCCAATGAGCCTGGTGCCCTGACACTGACAAGTCTTTCTGCTTCATAAGATGAATAAGACCCTTGTGGTCTGTCATCCAATGAAAGTGACAACCTATAAAGATGTCGCAGTGGCACTGCATCGCTTTGACACCTGCAAGCATTTCGATCTCATGCATAGGACAATTCATTTGTGCAGAGGATAACTTTGCAGAGAAGAATGCAGCAACCTTGGCACTGCAATAATCAGGTCCCTGGGACACAACCCCAGCAATACCTTTATGCGAGCCATCAGTTACTAACCAGATGGGTGATGCAATAGGCCAGAGGCACATGCTCATGTTCTTGGTGAGCATGTACCAATTGCTTGATTTCCTCAAAGGCCCACTGCTGAGTGAAATCCCATTTAAAACTGGAGTCAGATCTGGTTAAAGAGGACAAAATACCCATGGGTATGCGAATATTTGCAATATCATCAGAAAGAAACCCCACAGAACTCAGGAAACCATGAAGCAATTCCTTGTTAGTGGGGACCTTCCAGCTAAGTACTGAATCCACCTTGTCCAGATCCATGTGAATGCCACCAGGGCCAACAATTCGCCCAAGAATTTTGATGACTTTCACCAGAAAGTGTAGCTTGTCAGAAGCCAAATACAAAGACTCGTGCCTCAGGACATCAATTATAATTTTACAATGCTCAACATGCTCCTCAAGTGTGTTAAAATAGATGATGATATCATCCAGGTAAGCATCCATAAACTTCCCCATGTAGGGACCAAAGATATGATTCATGAGGGCCTGATAAGTGGCCACCTCATTGCAATCTCCTTGCTGCATTACTAGGCTAACCATATTGCCATCAGGTATAGCCATAGTGGTATGATTCACATGCTCTGGGGCAACTCAGATTTGATTGTACACATCCTTTTTATCTAGAGCAGATATAAATTTCTTGCTTGCTACTCAGCATAAAATTCCCTCCATAGGAGGCAAAGGTGATGTAAGCTTCTCGGTATTAGAATTGTGCTCCCGCAAATCACATACAATTCGAAGTTTGATAGGTTTGCCACCTACCCCAGACCCAGGCTTTTTAAGAAAAAGCATAGGGCTAGTGTTTCGAGTGGTAGTCATTTTCCATCATCCGAACTTCAAGTATGCATTGTGCTTCTCTGTTCATGCGGAGCATATAGCCTCCGGGCAATGAGCGGGTCACCAAGTATAGACCTTATTAGGGTATTTCAAAGGTATGACATGATCAATCGCATGCAGAGGCAGCAGGGGTGAATCCTGAGCTAATTTACAAATGGGCTTGACATACTCACGAAGATATTCGCACACAGTCTCCAGGCAGTCTTCTTATACCTCTGTAGCCTGAGATTCCAGAACCTTCGATTGCTTTCCTTCAACGGGAAGCAATTTGGTACTGCCTATCTCTACCGTTGTAGGATTGAATCCAAGTGCCACTTGATGTTGAAAGAAGAATGGTGTATCCAAGACAACATCATAAGTAGACAAGTTAGTGACGTCAAAGCATCAGACCTCATTTATAGCTTGATAAGCTATCTTAGCATGACATCTGGAGTGGATCTTAGACCTTGATCCCTGCACAGCAAGGTGCACAGGCAACGGTTTGGCCAATTCAAAGGACTTCAGTCCCAGCTGATGAACCAGCCATGCGAAGATGAAATCAGCCATAGACCCAGTGTCTAACAAGGCATGAGCTGGGTGACCATTCACATCTATCACTATAGTGGGCAGTTCAGGGATCACACACTGAAAATTGCACGGGATGGCCACGTTGCATTGCACAGCGGGCAGCGGGTCATTCCTCAAAGAAATTCCCATAGTTCTGAGCTTAATCATTTTAAAATGAGCTTCTCTGATTGTCTGATCAAAGAGCACCCTGAGAGCTTCCCTGAGATCATCCTGATCTGGTCATGGATCATGAACCGCCTTTGGACTGCCCATGCATAAGCATTACAGACGTCATGATAGGCATTCTGCAGTGCCGCGTTGGGCACCACAGCAAGAATGTTGAGGTAATGGTCTTCTATGACCACCTCGTCACTAGCTTGAATACAATGAAACCACAGTATAGTGGTATTCTCTGGTTCAGTGCCATCCAGATAAGGAAACTTGTCACTCAGAGTGGCTTCCACACCAAGCGCCAAAGCATAACTCATTTCCTCACCACCCTTATAGCCATGGAAATGGCCCAGCTTGAATGTGATGTGCCTCTGAAACCACACAGGTAAGTTGAATTCTGGATCATGCAGCCAGGCACCAGAAATGTACTGTTTTTTCTTAAGGTAACTATTATAGACTTCATAGTTTCCACCAGGTGCAGGTATAACATTGAAGCCACAAGACTCCCAAGAAGGCATACCTCGAGCGGACTGAGCGCAGCAATAAGGTGCATTACTCTCCAGTGTATGCTGAGCCCTCCAGGCATATAGATCATTAATTTGGCAACAGGGTCTACCTTCATGCACTGTAGAGGGCAGCTCAACAAAGCTGTCAGCGACCTGAACTTTCTGAATGAAAGCGGAAGCCTTAGTGAGTTCCTCTACCTCAGGAAGAGGCACAGGATCCTTTTGGGGCAATGCTGACATCCCAGGGTCCTCATCTGTCTGAACAGGACTGGCATCCTCACTGGAAGATGCATAACTGTCTGGTGAATTAACTTTACTGGCTGGTGCAAGTGATTCATCCTCCTTCTCAGAATCCTCATATTCAGAGCCAGATACTGATTGAAGGCTAGGCATTGAATCAGCATCGCTGTTATAGTTAACAATATGAGGCACAAAGTGAGGAAGGGTGAAAGCCCATTCCCCTTCAGGGGAAGTAATTGAATCTTCTTCAATATTGATCATGCCCACATGCACAGCATCATACCAAGCAGTGGACTTCGAGATGCCATGCATCTTCTCTATACTGCCAAGGTCCAGCTCAATATTATGAGCTGCGATTCCGGGAGCTGTGCTGGGTTTATTTGAGCACACCACGCTCCTCCTCGGACAGTTCCACATGAAGTGTCCAGCCTCACCACAAGTAAAGCAAAGAGAAGTGTCCTTGCAACAATCTTTCTCTTGAGGTGAAAGGTGTGAAGCTGAGGTAGTCCCCAAAGAGTGTGGGGACTTATAATTCTGGGAATTCTGTCCCCCAAAAGGTCCAGAGGAAGGGGAGAAATTATTGAATCTTCCCTTAGTATTTCGCTTATTGAAAGGTTTGACCTTTCCCTTAGCATCTGGCTTAGGTCCTCCAGGTGGGCCTTATGGCAAAGAGACTCCATCCCCCTTCGAACCCTGAGGTTTCTGAGGAGAGCCTACATGTTCAGTGATTTTGAGTATTTCTGCATTTTTGTGAACATTCTCCCAATTAGAGTGCATTGGCGTTAGCTTTTATAGCCAGAGGCCCTTCTGAATATAAGCATTTAGCCCAGTCCAGAGCTTGTCTATGCACTCTTGATTAGACGAGACACCAGCCATAAGAAAAAGCATTTCTAATTCATGAATATATTTGTGGACAGTTCAGCTGCACTGATAGCACTTGCGTAGCTTCTCTCTCTGATGCATATAAAAGTTGACAGGGAAGCAATAATTAAAGAGCTCAATTAAGATATCGCGGAGCTTTCAAGAATGAGAATTCTTGGAAACAGAGGTTACATAGAACTCATAAGCAGTTCCAGTCAAGAAATGCAATACCATAGAGGCAACTCACGATTTCTTGAGTTTATAACCATCAATATTCAGTCATCTCTCTCATGAACTTATGGAATTCCTGAACATCGGACTTTCCATCATAAGATGAAGGTTCTCTGGGTTTCAGCACAGGAACCCTAGATTTCCTTTTCTTAGCATGATAATGCTTTCTAACACCCTGTCTAGCATTCCCAAAGGGTGTATTATCACTAGATTCATCATCTGAACTTGAAGAGTCTGAAGATGAATCACTAGAGGGAGAGGAGTCACCAGGTGGCCCATCTCCCCCACCAGTTAGTTGCTTAAAAACAGCTTCTAGATAGCTGCCAGGCTCTATCTGTGAAGCTGGGTGAAGCATAGATGCCCATCATTACTGGCAGACACCACACAGCCATGGAACGTGCCGGGAGCATGAGGCTCAGTGGAAAATATGGGGTGTGGCCCCATAGCCACAGAAGTCGATCAAGGTTTGGTAGCCTCATGGCCCACTACTGTGGCTTCAGCTTTTGCCAGTTTCTGCTTAAGGGTTGCAATCTCAGCCTGAATGTCCACAGCCATCTGGGCCCTGCCAAGCCTTTGAGCAGAACCCCAGATTTCAAGCAAGGGTGGCACAGCCACAGGCTTCGAGAAGCCCCTCAGATTGGAATGCGGGCACTCTGCTGGCTCTGGAACAACAGAACCCAGGTGAACTTTGGCTTTTTGAGCAAAGAGTGGCCGAGTGGCCATCTCAGGACCCTGCATTCTGTAAAGGTTCCTGCCCATGTAGCCTTCAGCTAATGCCAGTTTCCTGGCTTTTTGAGTGTCTGATATCACAGTAAGTGCTCGCTGTTGCACTTGAATATCTAATTCCTCATCAGGAATAACAAAGTTGCCCCAGTTCCTGGGGTCAACTTGTTACAGATTTTCACCACAAAGTCCACACGTGACTTTACCCACACCACAGATCACGTGCTTCACCAATATCTCATGCCACCCAGCCACAGACGCGATGCGTAGAGATCAGGTAATAGTCTACATCACATATTATGGTCCAGACCCACAGATGATATGGTCGGACCTGTTTATTCCAGGATACAATAGAGGCACCCATTTGGAAACAAAGGGAACAAGGACTATTGTTAGGGATTGTCTAGGCAATCGGCTCAAGGAATAGCCATTACCATGATAGGATGGATTGTCTCATCATTGTTACGGATGAAGACAGATCTTCTCACCTATTGTTCTACTTACGGATGGATCTTCCCACTCATTGTTCTGTGTATAGCTTAGTTGCATAGGTACGTGGATAGCCAATAGCATGTCTCATAGTAGTCAGCACCTGTACACATATATAAAGACCAGCATGTAGAGGATGAAACTTCAAATTGTTTTTCCTTGTCTACCACTGTAGCAACCACTGAGCTTACCAGCTCCATCATATATTTATCACCTTTCCATACACTTGCTACACAGCTAGTAAGTGTTAGGCTCTTTAGCCACTTTAGGGATCAGGAGGATCAGGATGGCACATTCCATGTAACCGCTCCTTTTTTAGTCTTTTTGATCTCTTGTCCAGCGTCGCTGTGACATTAGAAACAATCTAACAATTTTTTGCACCCCCACTTAGTGTTTAACACAAGCGACCACATATTTTCAGTGCAAGCAGTTTCAGCTGTAGCGTGCGGCTTTTTTGACACACATTCCAATCTGACTTCTACCAGGCGTGAGCCTCAGTAAGACACTGAGCAGCCCAAGGCAGCAAAGCGCAAGGCCACCAAGGCAGAAAATCCCTACGCCAGCTACAAATACCATGAAACCAACCAGGAGTGAGGAAGGCTCCTCACTTTAGCATCCTTAGGTGCTTCGTCCACAGATCGACAGAGATCAGTGGCCAGGATAGTAGACACCACGCACATCAGGGTCCAAGGCATCATTCGCTGACCTCGCAGTCACACCCCCCTGCTTGAACAATACAAGCCCAGAACTGGACATTTCACTACAGGTGGTCGCAAGCCAAAACCACCCCCAGAGATTATCACATCCAATGCAGTTCCTTCACCCCTCATCGCTCCCATTCCAGTTCAGCCACTTCCAAACTTTGTAAAGCACCACACAGTTGCTTGTCCCATCTGTCTACTTCTATCGAGAATCAGACTAATGATCTACCCAGAAATCTTACTCAAACAGGTGGACGCCACTCAGTTCAGACTCCAACCAATCCTAGTGAACTTCAAGGAGCATCTCGACAACTACCAATTCGACTGGATCCACCATCTGGCAGGCAAGCTAGCCAGACTTAGTGCACATATCCATAGCAGAACGTGTACTTTAAACTTCATGGAGAAACAGGTCATTAATATGGTGTGCTTGGACATAGGAAGCGTCAGCTTCAAGCAGATAGGAAAAGAGGAGAGGTTCCAGGAGATAGTAAAAGTGTTGATCATGATTCGGAAAAAGTGCTACCTTGAGTTTTTGTATTAGTTACATTATCGTGCAATGTCAGAAGATTGGGCACACATGTCCACGTTCAGACAAAGAATGGAGGATGTGCTCTGACCAAATATTGAGGCACATGAAGGAAGCACACCTCATGCTTCCAGACAAGCATCACTGGAGCTCCTACCTCAGGACTCTGCATCACAAGTTGGAGGACCATCATCCCCTACCGCATCACTCTTTCCCGCATACATACCTCCTGCATGATCATATGATGGACATCAATATGAGCATCTTGAAGATGCTATCAGACAGTCTGCACCCAGCAAAGTACCTGACAATATTCGTGAATGGGTGATCATCATCATAAAGTCAATGGTCGACAATGAGCTCAAAAAAATGTACAATGTACTCGGCGACAAGATGTACGAACATAAAAGAATTCTTGAAGCCTCAATCACATCAGCTCAGACAGAACGACAACTGAAAGAGGTGGTACTCATGTCCAAGAATGAGAAACTCTTGGAAAGGATCAAGGCCCAGGATGCACACATGGTCATCCTCAATGATGAGATTATGGGAACCCAGGGAGCCATGTTGGACATGGGAAAAAAATGATGGAACTAGGCAGCAAGAATACAAAGCTGCATCATGAGTTAGCTTCACTCAAAGCAAGCGGCGTCACAACGATGCAAGGTCACACCCTTGGCATGGTCCTATCATACAAACTGCATGTCAAGATAGCTGAGCCTCCACACTACTCAGGCAAAGGAATTCTGGAGAATTGGCTCCAACAACTCAGCATCTGGATGCGATGGAATGAGATTAATGACGAAGAATGAAAGATTACCATGGCCTTGCTGCACCTAGAAGGAGGCACATTCACTTACATGTCAGAATATGTGACCAAAGCAGTGGCACGGCAAGCACTCAGTACATGGGAAGACTTCATCGATGTTAACTACAGGACCCTCAACCCAGACAAGGACATGCAACAACATCTGAAGGAGATCTGCGCAAAGACCTACCCCACAATGGTCTCCTTTACCAAAAAGTTCTGCCAATGGGCCACCAAGACCAACTTGGGGCACACCGCACTCATCAGTTACATCGCTGAACACAGGGACAAGGACATGCACCAGGCAATGGTAACATGAGACAGTCTAGGCATTGCAGACCCGACCACTTGGCTGAAATACCTCAACTTATGCCTACAACTTGAGTTTAAGTTCAGAGCTGACAAAGCAGGACAATGTGGAACAATGGCAACATCATCATTGCAAGCACCCCGGCCCAAGAAAGACCCTAATGCAATGGACGTGGACCATGTGTCCCAACTCACTAAGGAACAGGAAGGATGGCTGGAAAGGGAGCTCTGTGTATGCTGTGGAAAACATCCCTTCATATTTAAACAGCAATGCCCTGACCCTAAATATAAAGGCAAATTGGAAATGCCAAGGCAGGGACAAGTGACAAGAGCGGTCACCACACCAGCAGAATCAAGCAGTTCTGACAGCGGCAAAGTGAGAGAAGAAGCAGTTCGTGCCTTCCTCACCAGCTATGACATAAAAGGGAAAGAGAAGGAGGCAAAACCGGAACCAGCTATCGAAGCAGCTAGGATTACAGAGGTAGAGGATGATGAGGATTTTCTTCAGAGGATTCTTTGAGGTCTGGCCAGAGTGTTGGATTCCGGTGAGCTGTGCCACACCGTCGGGATATTAGCCCGCAGGTTGGGTGAAATAGGAAGCGCTGGGTGGTCCATGCACATAAGTGTTTCATGTATATATAGGCAGATATAATACAGGGGGAGGCATCAGTTTGCCCCTCGGTATATGTGCTTTACCCTACAGCTAGCCTAGTCTGGTGCGAACTGTCAACACAAACCGATTCTCACCTTTAATCTCTCTCTCTTAACAATGTCTACTGAATCAGCAGTCACCAACAAGGATGTCAAGTTTATGCCACTCAACGGGAGCAACTATGCACAGTGGGTGATATACATACATGGAGGCAGAGCTGACTAGGAAGGGGCTATGGGAAGTCGTGGAGTTTGAGTACAAGGTTGGCGCATTCGAGGCTGAAACGCAGAAGGCCATAGAGGTGGCGAGGGCAGCACGGGATGCACAGCTGGAGAAAAAGGCATGGGGTGAGATCGTGCTTCATCTGGAAGCTGATCAACTTGTCCACGTTCAGGGGGAGCGAGACCCGGCAAACATGTGGGATCAGCTCAAGGCTGTGCACATGAGCCGGGGGCTCACCACTGAGGTCACGAGATGGAGGGTGCTCCTAAATGCAGGTATGACCACCGAAGAGTCAGTGGAAGGGTGGATTGGTCAGGTCTGAGGGCTAGTGCGGGGCTTAGAGGTGATAGGCGAAGAGGTGCCGAAGAAGCTGCAGGCCATCATAGCAGTCGTTGGGCTCTGTGAAGAGCTCAATATGGTCGAGACGAAGCTCAATGCAGTCAACCGGAAGCTATGGACGGTGAAGCAGGTAGTGGTGCTGGCACTCAATGAGGAAGCCTGAGTAGGCCAGGGGAAGACCATATCCAAAATGGTGCTAGCTGTAGCCAGTGGAAAGAAGAAGAGAAAGGCATGCGCATGCTTCCTCTGCAGAAGCACAGATCATCTGGCACTTGGATGTCCAGCTCGCACGAAGTCCCATCACACTGAGATCGCTAGCGATGAGGGATTTTCCTTTTAGAAAAAAGGAGTGCAGGGGTGGCTGGCTCATGGAGGAGTGTTGGATTCCGGTGAGCTACGCCACACCATCAGGATATTAGCCCACGGGTTGGGCAAAATAGGAAGCGCTGGGTGGTCCGTGCACATAAGTGTTTCATGTATATATAGGCAGATATAATACAGGGGGAGGCATCAGTTTGCCCCTCGGTATACGTGCTTTACCCTACAGCTAGCCCAGTCTGGTGTGAACTGTCAACACAGAGTTCCCATAGACACTGTAATAGTATCTACTCACTCTCGCATGTACCAGTATCAAGATTTCTCTATATTGCATCTACTGATTCATCAAAACATGCGATTGATTTACCTATTCACCTTAAACAGGGAGTAAGGGAAGTCCAGACTGAGGTGCTCCTCAACTCAGGAGCATATTCTTGCTACATCAACCCACAGCTGGTTGATAAGTTAAATCTTGCTACGATCTCACTTGAAAAGAAGATCAGGGTTTATAATGCAGATGCATCACACAACAAGAATGGAACCATTAAGAAAAGGGTTCTTCTAAGTATAACTATTGGAAACCATACAAGCAGACAGAGCCTTCTTGTCACCGATATAGGACACAAAGATGTTATACTAGGCATGAGTTTCCTCAAGGAGCACAATCCCAAAGTGGATTGGGGGAAACTTAACATTGAGTTTACCTGATGCCTGCAAAGATGCGCACCCTCACAGGTAGCAGTCCAGAAGGAGGACCTGGAAGACACAAACATCCCCCACATCAAAGACTTAATGGAGTTTGTTGGTTCCCAGGAGTTAGGTAACACCTGGAATGACATAGACAGCTTCATTAAATGGGTGTCATTATTAGAAGACCCTGATGCACAAGCCATAGCATCACTAATTATGGGTCTTGACACCAAGAGGAATCAGGATAGAGTGCCACAAAAAGGAGAATAGGACAAAGACTACTGGTCAGCCTATGTTCCCAAACACTTCCACGAGTATGGCGATGTGTTCTCCAAGAAGCAGTCAGAACGAATGCCCACCAGAAAGCCCTACGATCATCCAATCGAACTTGTTCCAGAGGCATCATTACCATGCCTGGCAAAGTTATATTCTATAAACCTACAGGAAAGAAATTTGCTCGACACATGGATAGACCAAGAGTTGGCCAAGGGATACATCAAGAGATCAAGGAGTCCAACAGCAGCACCTGTCTTCCTCATTAAAAAGAAAGATGGATAACTGAGGCTAGTACAAGACTACAGGAACCTCAATGCAGTAACAAAGAAGAACAAATTCCCAATCCCATGCATCTTGGACCTCATTGACAGGCTTTCGCAAGCTAGTATATTCACAAAGCTTGACCTAAGCTGGAGATTCAACAGCATCAGGATTAGGGAAGGAGATGAAAAAAAAAGCCACCTTCATTACACATTGCGGCCTCTTCAAACCCACAGTAATGTACTTTGGTTTCTGCAATGCTCCTAGTACTTTCCAAACAATGATGAATACAGTCCTTGAGGACCTGATTTGCACAGAGAAAGTAGTAGTCTACTTAGACAATATCCTCATTTTTACAGACGATCTCGAAGAACACCAACGACTAGTAAAAGCTGTTCTACAGTGCCTCCGGAACAACGATTTGTATGCCAAACCAGAAAAATGCTTTTTTGAACAGTCCTCAATCGAGTATCTTGGCATGTTTATCAGCAAGAACTTGGTACAAATGGATCCTGCTAAAGTTAAAGGCATCCTTGGCTGGCCAGCATCTACTAAGGTCAAACAAGTACAGGCCTTTTTAGGATTTGCAAATTTCTACAGATGATTCATAAAGGATTTTGTGAAACTCACATGACCTTTAACACTTCTCACCTGTAAGGATGTGCCCTGGCAATGGAAGGAAGAGCAAGATCAAGCCTTCAATGCACTCAAAACAGTGTTCACTTCAGCCCCGATCTTACAACTCCCAAATGACACTGCACCGTACCATCTAGAGACAGACTCCTCAGACTATGCAACTGGGGCAGTACTCAAACAATTGGAAGAAAACAAGCTTTGGCATCCAGTCACATACTACTCCAAATCACTCAACGAACATGAGTGAAACTACGAGATTTACGACAAAGAGCTGCTGGCAATTATTTGGGCACTTGAAAAATACCAGCACTATCTAGAAGGCCACCCAGAACCCATCAAGATTTGGTCAGACCATCTCAACCTTACATGCTTCCACCAGGCACAGAAGTTATTCTGATGCCAAGCGCGTTGGGCATTATTTCTCACCAGATTCAATTTCACACTTTGTCACTGACCTGGAAAGACAATGCTATGTGCTGATCCTCTGTCCAGGAGGCCAGACCATGAGAGGGGGGTAGACAGTGACAATTCGAACCAAATGCTGTTAAAACCTGAATTTTTCGCTATTAATGCGATTTGACCTGCTCACGCATCTGAAGTTGATGATGCTTAACTACTGGAAAGAATCAAAAAGGCACTCACAGATGACATGATGACCAAGGATTATTGTGTGCTTTTGACTACAGGACAGCACAAATTTGGAAAAAATCTCCCAGAATGGAACTTTGAGCACGGACTGCTGCTCCATCGCAGAAAGGTTTATGTTCCTAAGGATCAACAGCTATGCCTTGACCTAATCAAACTCCATCATGACACATTGCCAGCAGGACACCCAGGCAGGTTCAAGATGTTGGAGCTCATTACTCAGAACTATTGGTGGCCAGGAATGTCTGTAATGGTTAAGAAATATGTACAAGGTTGCGACAGTTGTCAACGCAACAAGTACTCAAGGGAAAAGCCATATGAACTACTACAACCCAATAATGTACCAGGAGAACCATGGGAGATCATCACAGTCGATCTTATCACTCAACTTCCTCCAGCCATGGACTTTAGGGGAGAAAAGAAGATGGCAATACTTGTTGTCGTGGACAGACTCATGAAATGAGCGCACTTTTATGCAACAGAGGACACAGTCACCTCATCTCAAGTCACTAACATATTCTATAATGAAGTCTTCAAACTCCACGGCTTACCATGCCAGATTATCTCAGATAGAGGTACTCAATTTGTGAGTAAACTATTCCAGGAGTTCTGCCAGAAGCTCGGTATGAAGTCTACCATGTCTACAGTGTACCATCCTCAAACAGACAACCAAACAGAAAGGGTTAACCAGGTGTTGGAACAGTACCTATGCATGTACTATAACCATAGACAAAATGATTGGGTCTACTATCTGCCCACAGCAGAATTTTCATACAACAACCAGACCCATGAGTCCGCCACACTTTCCCCATTCTTTGTCAAATATGGCTGACATCAAAAATGGCACCAGACGTACACGAATCAATATGTCACCCATCATTGGAACATTTATTCATCCACTGATCTGAGGCACAAGAACAGGCTAAGGCAGCATTGGAAGTTTCAGCTTGATGGATGAAATGGTACTTTGATGAGAAAAAGGGAGAAGTCTCATTCAAAGTCAGAGACCTAGTACTACTCAAGGGAAAAGATCTCAGAGTAAAAGTCAAATCTGTGAAGCTAGGCACACAAAACTTTGGACCTTACAAGGTACTTCAGAAGCTAGGCCCAATCATATTCAGACTGGAGCTACCCAAGCAAATGAAGGTTCATCCAGTCTTCCATGCTAGCAAGTTGATCATGTATCATCAAGACACGGTCACAAACCACGAACCCCCAAAACCTCCAGCCATAGAAATCGAAGGAGAACCAGAATTTGAGGTTGAAGAAATACTAGACTTCAAGGTCATGAGGGGAAGGGTCCAATATCTCGTCAAATGGAAAGGCTATGACCATTCTGATGATACATTGGAACCCTGAACAAATCTCACCAACGCCGATGAGCTTCTTCAAGAATTTCACCAGCAACATCCAGATGCACCCAAAGCACCAATCAGGGTTGCCACATTTGGTGGAAAACACTTCGAACTGTCCTCATACGAAGTTGCCCCAAAATCCACACACAGAATCAACATGTCCGATTACCCAAACAAGTTCTTCCTATATCACAAAATGACAGATCTTGCCAAATCACCAACAAAATCCTCAAGTGTAGCAGCCGGATGGGACATCTATGCAGCAGAAATGCATGAGATACCTCCACACTTATGAGCTGTGGTAGAAATGGGAGTTGCCATTGAGCCTCCTAAGTATACTGTCACAGCGATGCTGGACAAGAGATCAAAAAGACTAAAAAAGGACAAGTTATGTGAAACGTGCCACCCTGATCCCCCTGATAACCCCTGAAGGTGGCTAAAGAGCCTAACACTCACTGGCTTTGCAGTAATGTGTATGGAAAGATGATTGATGTATAATGGAGCTTGTGAGCTCAGTGGTCGCTACAGTGGTAGATGAGGAGAAACAATCTGAAGTTTCGTCCTCTACATGCTGGTCTTATATATGCGTACAGGATGGGCTGCTTACTACTGCTACTTTACCAATCCGGAACGAGATTCTGCTGACTACTACAGCATTGGTCAAGTCCAGAACAAAAGGCCATATACTCGTGTGAGTGAATCTATCCTAATACGTACTAGTACAGGAACGTCTCTGTGAAACAATAAGGTGAAGAGGTTCTTCCTCGTGGGATTCAACCAATGCTATGGGGAATCCCTGGGCTTCTGTGACCTTTTCTTATTGTGGTAATGGCTATTCATTGAGCCGATTGCCTAGACAATCTATATCAATTGTCCTTGTTCCCAACATGGACGCCCTTGTGTTCCCTGGAATAGACCGGTCTAACTGTGTCATCCATAGGTCTGGACCATAACATGTGATGTGGACTATCACCTGACCTCT